AGCTACTCTAGCGTACTGCAGCTGATGAAGCTATAAATTGCTACAGCCTCGTGGGGTGGGGTGGAGTCTGGCAAATACAGATACCATTTCACATACTTCTAGGAACTCATCAGACAAGACACATCACACTGCTCCACTGCTTTAGCTGTGCCTGGGTATGACCTGATGTCCACCAATCAGGAATTGCTTCAATAACCTTTCTTTCTGTTTTCCTTTCCTCCTTTCTTTTCTCTTTTTCTTTCCTTTTTAAATAATTATTTTATTTTAACTTTTATTATTATTATTATTATTGAATTTGATCAGAGAGAGAGGGGGAAAGAAAGAAAGCAAGACACCAGGACTGGGACTTACAACACGGTTGGCCATGTGGGCGTCTAGTGCCTCTAACTACCACACTGCCTACCGGCCCCTTTGGTAACTTGTCTACACAGTGGAATCTTATGGGGCTTCAAGAGGAAGGAGGCAGAACTACATATATGGATAGGGAACCATTTTCAAACTCTGTTGCCAACTGAAAAACAGGACAGAATAATATTTTGTATTTTTGTAAGAGGAGAAATGCTTATACCTATCTGTGCCTGCTGAAATAGGACTAGATATCTCTGCCAAGACACAGTAGCAATAGTGGTGATCTCTGTAAAGAAGGAAGGAGGGGACTGTAGGTCAGGATAGAAGGGACATACACTCCACCTGGTATACTCCTTGGTACAGTATGAGTTTTGTTTTGTCTGTATCGTCCTTTAAACAAGTATTTAATAGTTATCCTAGGGGCCAGCAGGTGGCAGAGTGGTTAAGGCACTGAACTCTCATTTGGCTGACCATAGTTTGAGTCTCAGACCTGGTGGCTTGAAAATTACGTCAGATGTGTTTGTGTATGTGTGTGTGCCCAAAATCCCGGGAGGAGAATGGAGGAGAAGAGATTGTGATCTGGTCATCCTCCCTGGGGGTAATTTCTCATTCCCTTCTCACTGTCTTTCTCTGGCCAGTGCACATGCCCTTTGGTAAAAACCATTAAAAGAAAAATAGTTATCTTATGAGAATCGGTCAAAAAGACTGTTATAAGAAGATGGCAGGTCTGCAAGCAACAAAAGTATACAAGCTGTGGGTGCCCAGGAGCACTACAGCACATGCCTCACCATGCCCTGCTGCTCCCAGTGGGCATGGCTGACTCAGGAATTGGAATCTGCAGCCCAGATGTGCTTCTGTTATGGTATGTGTGTTCTCAGCACCCAGAGAGGTCAGAGAAGGTTCCAGAGTTAGAGGGAGAAACTGAGGTGAAATTGAGGGAGGAGTGATGGGCTAAATAGACCTCTGACTATTTAATGACCTTCCATTAGCCTTTAAATAATTGTTTCCATGCCCTAGTTGTTTCTAGCAGCCCAGAAAGAAAGGCATTAATCTGCTCTGTTAATATTATTGACACATACATAGTGTCTGATGCCTTGTTTCCAACATAGGTTCCATAAATGCTGGTGTTTTTTCTATGGAACAAGGGAGATGTAAGTTCCCATTTAGTAAAACTATCCTGAGCACCGTTTGGTATCCTCCAGGCCTGACAAGGAAGCAAGGCTGACCTTCTGCATAACTGGTTCTGGCAAGAGCCCACATACACTGCAGGTGCTGCTACTGCAAGGTCACACTGACCCAGGAAATAGCAGATAAAGACCCAAAGCGAGTACTGAGAGGTCTAGCTCCTTAGACATGGATGGAAAAGAGCCACTAAATATTTAAAGTATGCCTATCCCACTGGGCCTCACTCCTCTGCATATCAGTCACACATACAGTCTCTCAGAATAGCATGATTACCCTAGAAAAGGAGCCCCCTCCTTCCTGGCAGGTGGGATGAGGCACCTCAGGCTTGAGAACCCCCCAGGGCACTCTTTCTCTCAATAAACTTTGCTTTTCTTTAGAGATGATTCCTCCTGAGTCTTGCTCCTGACCATGACAGGAGATTTCCTTTCATTCCTTCCCCAAATGGCATCCTGTCCTTGTCCTTGCAGAAGATACAAAGACAGCCTTCAGCGCAACTACTGGCATGACCATTGGGGTAACCATTGGAAAGTAAAGATCATGCTCCCTTTTAAGACAAACATCCTTTTCCAAAGACTATACCTCATTGGTTATCTTTGGTTAAATAAATAAATAAATAAATAAATAAATAAATAAGTCTGTCTTCTCCAAGCCTATAGACAACAGAATATTCTCTTACCAGGTGCATTCCCATGGAGGTAGCCATTGCCGTCTCAATCTCTGTTCCCACATCCTCGATGAAGGGATATTCATCCTGCTGATGGACAATCACCTTCGCCCCAGTGGAGGACACCAGGAAGGGGTTATATTCCTCTTCATTTACATACAAGATGACTTGCAGCCCTGAGAGGATAAGGCAGCCTGCTGTGGCCAAAGACCAGGAAAACAACTCTTGGGAGTAGCCTCAAATCCAAGCCCCAAGCATTTCCAAATGAGAGGCGAGTGGGGCTAGACTATTTGCTCCAGGAGGAAGGGAGCTTGCCTGACTTGCTTAGGTGCTGTGCCTGGGGCCTTAGCCAAAAATAGAGTTCCAACACAGCGTGACTGTGACAGTTCTTGCTAAACACCAGTCCTTGCTACTCTGCCTTGGACATGCATCTCCATGTGGTCTTTTGAGGTGAGAGTTCTGCTGAACATCCAATTAGATGTGCAGAACTATGGCTGTTGAAATGCTCAGGGAGAGCACCCAAAGAAGAGACGAGTCACTGATGGTGTACCTGATCACAGGCCTAACTTCTCTCCCTACATCTGCTCTCGGTCCACAAAGTCTATACTGTATTCAGTGGCTAAAGGGATCTATTGAAAATGGGGAATCAGATCAGTTTACTCCCAGGCCTAAAATCCTTCAATGGTGTCTCATTGACTCCATGGGGATCTCACAGGATATATGGCAATGCCATGGAACCAACCTGATGGTGCCTGTCAAGGCTATGAGGATTAAAGTCCCCATCCCAACCCTAACCACTGTGCCTTCTCCTTTGCTGCTTTCCTGTCCTCATCACTTGCATTAGGATTTGTAACTAAATAATGTTTATCTACTTGCTTACTCATTTGTTAATGTGTCTAAAACGTAACTTCCCTAAAAGCAGAGATGGTATCTGTCCTGTTTACTGCTGTGTTCTTGACTTCGAGAAGGCGCCTGACAGGCAGGAGATAATAAGTGGTAAATAAAGTAGTAAAAGAGCAGGGTCTATATGGATTGAAAGAAGGGAGTTTTGAAAGTGATTCCGACCCCTTCAATTTGTAAACAAGGGTACTGAAGTCCAGAGTGGGGAGGCGATTTGCTTGGAGTCGCACAACACGCATGTAACAGAGCAAAGGGTTCTAAAATTCTTCACTTCCATAACAGGGCTTTGTCTTTCCTGGTGGGAGCGTATCTACATGAGTGCACTTGAAAAAGTTGATGGAAAATGAACTGCATGTATGAATTTATTTTGGTGCAAGACATTTAAAACAATCCATGCATACTTCCCTCATAATATGTTGTTTTCCAGGAACTTTTCGAAGCCCTCCTGTGCATCAAATCATGTTCAACTTGTATAGAACTTTTCAAGAATTTCTTTTGTGCGTAAGCTAGACCAATCTATTGAGCTCTGACTTTCCCTAAGAGTAATAGTGGTATTGGAGGTAGTAGTGGTACCATCGGTGGTAGCAGAAGCAGCAGCAGGAGCAGCAACGATAACAGGCCAGTATGAATACTAGTAATGGTAACAATAGCAACAACGACACTTTGCATTTGCTGTGCGCTTAGTGTGTGTTATGGTTGAATTGTGTCTGCCCCCTTCAAATCTATTTGTTGAAGCTCTACCCCCTAGTGTGATGGTATTTGGAGATAGGGTTTTAATTAAGGTTAACCGAGGTTGCAAGGTGGAGCACTAATCTGATAGGATTGTGAGCCTTATAAGAAGAGGAAGAGACATCAGAGCACTCTCATCTCTCCATGTGCTACAGAGGAAAGACTGTGTAAGGACACAGAGGGAAGACAGCTGTCTGCAATCCAAGGAAAGAAACCTCAACCAAAACCAAACTTGCCAGACCTTGGCGTTCCAGCCTCCAGAATCATGAGAATAAATATCTGCTGTTTAAGCCACCCAGCCTGTTGTATGTAGTCATGGCAGCCCAGTAGACTAGCAGAGCATGCACCGGGTCTTACTCTTAAGAGTTCTCTGTATTTAAGTCCTCGGAAAGCTTGTACAGGGGATACTATTATTGTTCCCATATTATAGATGCAGTCCAGTATTTTGTCTGAGGTCACACAAGGAGTGGCAAAGCTAGGTTTTGGCTTCAGACTCTGCCACTTTAAGATTAGGCAACCTTCCTATCTCCTGTTCAGCATGTCTGGGTTTACTTTATTTGGAAGCTACCTGTCCAGCAGTACTCATCACAGCTACGGTCTGGCACTCCGGTTTAAGCTCATACACTAGTGATGTCCCTGTTCCTCTCTCTAAAAGGTAAGAGAGGAAGTCCAAAAGGAAAACAGACACTGACATGGAAGGAAGGAACCACTGCGAATGTTGATGAAAACACTGAAAAGATAAAGGGGAGTCCTTGGTTCCTGGCCAAGTGAAGAGGTTCTGCATTTCTGGAAGGCGCAAGCATCCCTAGTCATCCTGCGGACACCATGCCTGCTGTTAATGCAGCTCAGAATCCCTTAGGGGCAGGTTTCCTTACCATACTGACTGCCCCCCATGGAGGTGCTGAGGATGGTCTCATTTACTTTGTTGTTGAACGTGTAGCAATTCCCATGCATCGGGTGGTGGAACAGTGTGAAGTTCCTATGGAAGAAGAAAACAGGTCAGAAAGAGCCATGTGAGGAGCAGCTCAGAGCTGCCAGTCCTGAGAGGCCGAGAGAGCAGCCTTCTCCTGACCTGGAATCACAGGACACGCCATCAAAGAAGCAGGTCACTAGCAGCTCCTCAGCGGAGTAGCTCATGTTGATTTTCTTCTCCAGAGGCACCTGTGCCATGATGTTCATGTAGTGCAGCTTGTACCACTCTTGAATGGCATTGACCCCTGAGCTGAAGGTGTAGGTGGCACAGTCGGAGGTGTCATTTGAACACTGTGAAGAGGAGGAGACACCAGGGTGAAACCACCATTCCCACCACTACCCTTCAGAAAGATGGTAAGGATAGGTGACTGAGACTCCAGGCCAGCGACATAGGAGAATGGGAGGGAGAACTGGGACATGGAAGGGCTTCCTCTCACTTCTGGGGCCTGGAAGAGGTTATCCTCAAGCCACAGGGACCAAAATGGGCTCCGTGGGGAAGGACACTAAGTCCTGCTCCTGTGACTCCCTACTACTGCTACCTGCCCTTGGGTGAGGAGCAAAACCAGCTTCCTCAGGGTCTCCAGACCTCCAGGGTCAGCTGATCAATGCCACTGGGTTCCTACATGACCCTTCCCATTTTGTACCATGTTAACACTCACGAAATCCGGATTCTAGCCCACACCCGGACACCTTCTCTGCAGGATCTTGTGTACCCATTATTTCACCTACAGAATCTTGACCGAAATACCATCATTCCCAACCACATAGAGTCGTCGGGAGGCCCACATTTAAAATATATAATAAAAAACACTTTGTAGGAAAGTTGCATTTCAGATGCTTTCATTCCTCAGGGCTTGAACACACTCCCCTGAAATGACAGACATCAAGAATTTATTTTGGTATCAAAGAGAACCTTGTGGATATTTTACGAAAGGATCAGAAAGACGTTGCAGTCTCAACAATTTAGAGGAGGGGCCACTTTCCAGGATTCCTATCTACAGATACGAGGTCTCACGGTCAGCAGTCAAGGCTGTAAGGTATAGAGGTAGGTCCCACCTCCAGAGGTGGCTGGGACATGGACAGGTAGAATAGTGTTGGAGATTGCCCAGGAAGGTCATGGAACTCATTTTTGGTCACTTTTTTTTGTTTTGTTTTGTTTTCCTCAAGAGCCACTCAAATGTGCTCAGAAGGGGACATAAAGGAACCAGACCACAGTACCAGCACCTCACAATGACAAGCACTGCAGGGAACATTGGTGTTTGTGCCATTTAGCTATTTTCTTCCTTTCTGATGCCTGCTCACTAATTGGCTTTGGAGAATTTCCTTCCCTCCCTTTGAATACAGTCTGAAGAGACTTTGCATCAAGATGTTCATACCTCCATTAGCTAAGGGGTGATGGGAATCAAGTTTGGCCAAATGAGATGAAATTGGACTCCTTAGCATTAAAAGAATGACTGGAAATAGTTGAAGTTTCTTTAAATCAGCAGCAGTATCTGAAATGACTCCATCGTTTCTTCCCATCTAGCTCTTTGGAGCTTCCCTAGTTTATGTCTTTTGAAACGCCTCTTTGAGCTACTGGTCACCTTCTAAGACATTTTCTCCCTGTTTAAGATTGCCTGAGGAGCCACTCCACAGCTAGTGGTTAACGGAGCTGGATTCCACATGGCCATCTGCAATTTGAATTCCTGGCTGGTGGCTTGAAAAACATGCCTGGCAAGTGTGTGGACCCAAAATCCCAACAGGATGGAGAAATGGAGAAGAGACCATAGGGTGATCATCCCCTGTAGAGCTAGCTGTTTTTTCTCTGTCTCTGTTCTATGTCTGTCTCTTTCTCTCTCTCTGGCAAGCACACGTGCCCTCTGGAAATTAAAATACACATTTTTTTAAAAAAAGATACACTTTTAAAAAGTTGTTTTCTGCCCCACAAATCACTGGGTTATTTCATCCAGCAGGAA